TAAAACGGCTGGCCTTTATTATTCCGTACAGGCAACGTTTTGGAAGTATTATATCATTTGATGACTTTGATGAGGATGATGATTGTCTATATATTATTGATTCATCCGTTCACATCTGCTATATACAAGTTTACTGAACAACATATTTCAGAAAAATATGAATCCCAATATTATACTTATCAAAAACATCCAGCAACAGATACAAAAACCTGCTGTAGAATCCAAGAGACAAGTAATTACATACGTGATTCCAAAATGGAGTGTCAGTCTGCAGTACTAGCATTGAAAAGTATAAAACGCAAGTCACCATTATACAATAATATTACAAAATCTCACCCCGATATTCCACCAAAATATGTTGGGCAGCATGTGTTGGAGTGTCAGCAAAGGAAGATGCGGACGAACCAGCCGGAAATAACTTGTCATGATGCAAAATACGAAACAGCTATGAGAAAAAGAAAAGCAAAAAGGAGAAACTGAAAGACGTCTTTTTCTTTTCCTCCGTCAAGTTAATTCGTGCTCGCCAACAAGTAAACATCATATAAAACTCCCATAAACCAATATCTACAAATATATCAACTTTGCAATAAACACTAAGCAATTAAAAAAACAAAAAACAAACAAATAAAAAAAAAAAACATAGAGGCAATTATCAACTAGCTCTCAAGTAGGAGAGAGAAAATATGTGCACCAAACTAAGTAAACAGCTGTACCATATATTACCAAGAAAAGTCAGCAAACTAATGATGTTCTGTTATTAAACAATGAGTGATATATTAAGAAATTCATATCTTGCACAAATCAGCTTTAATAGGAAACCATTTGCATAAAGGAATGTTGTTAGATTAACTTTACATTGCATTAACGAATTTCTCATAAATGAAATTTTAACAAAAAAATTTTTATACAAATACAGTTTAGACAAAGAAACAACAAATAAAAAAAGAACTGTACATAGCAAAGAACTCTGTATTAAGAAATTTTATATAAAATAATCCTTATATAAACTAAATAATAAATAATGGATATTATGCACAAATATTTTGTAACGAAAAAGTACAGTTTTCAAATTACACATGAATTACTGGAGATTTGTAAGTGCAAATTTTTATAATTGTGAAAGACATTCATACGTTCTAAATTATTTTAATTGCGAAAGGCAGTAACTTTTCTGAATTTCTGTAAGTGAAAAAAGCAAACCTGTTTTAAATTTATGTAAATGCGAAAGGCACCAACTAATGTAAATTATTGTATGAGCGAAAAGCACCAACTGTAAAACATTTTTCAAGGTATTCCCTTTTAGAACCTTGCGGGAATTCATTCTGAAACCCTTTTTGGACCTTGCGGTGTATCCACTGGCATTGATTAAACATTGATCTAACTTTGGTGCATTGGGGGGGTGTCCATTGCAGTTCACCCTGACCTTACGTATACATCTGGCACCTTGACCTGTGTATTTGACGTACACTTTTATGATTTTCAAAACTTGAAATTAATATACATTTTTAGCTTTCGTATTCACGTTCACCTAACTAAAACTAGAAAATATGATTATTTTATGCAGTTCAGATATCACTCATTTACTATTAATCCTTAGATCTTTGAACGCTAAATGTTAAAAAAGTATATCCAATTAATTTATTTAATGTGAATTTCTGACTGATCAGTAACAATTGCCCTGAAACTTCATCAGAACAAGAAAAAAAAATATAATACGTTATCAACAAATCGCAATCGCATATGGACTTCCATATTCATTTATCTTTTCTTGGGGATAATAAACCTTTTCATGGCAAATGGCTTTATAAAATGACAAATATATCTGTCATATATACTTTGATTGACCTTTGTGTAGATGATAAATGCTTCCCAACACTTTTCCATTTCTCCTATTTGGAGACTATCCAAAAGTGTAAGTTTCCTTCAGATCTCCTTCTTTATTTCCCATGGTTTGGGTTAGAATGACATTTTATTATTTCTTTATAATTTCAGAATTCTTTAAACAGGCTAGCTAATAAAAATGAATATTTTCTAGTGCACTTTCTTATATTTCAGGTTTTGTTAAGTGCAAGAGCTCAAACGAGGTAGATATTGAGTCTAAAATATCTTCACGAACTGCATTTTTAAGAATAACTGTTAAAGGATAATTGTCCGCAATGAGTATAAATGCTTTTTGAATTTTTTTCATCAAACTCTCATCATTTAAGAAGTTTAAATCAGTAATTTGTTTGATTTCAAGCAGCCATTTCTGCTGGTACAGATTCAAATACTGCATCGCGACAAGCAATTATCTTCTTCGAGCTTCGCAAGTACAGTGCAAAAATTTACTATAAATAAAATTCATATTGGTTTTAATTACATAATACAAACGTTCCCCCCCCCCAGAAATTATCATTTTATTGTATCTGTGGAAATTTATATTTCAATATATATTGTATTTTCCTGTTGGAGAAAGAAAAAGTATATTTTTTAAAGTAGAAATTAAGCGTAATTTATTTTCTATTTCACATTCGTAGATGTAAATTTTATCTCATTCTGTATCATCACCGCAATGAATGGTTTGGTTTGTGTACTTACGGCAAACACTCGAGGGCTAAGGGGAGGACTTTCTATGGGAAACTGCTTGTATACATCATTCACATGGGGATATAGAAAATATAATAATAAGCATTAAAAGACATAAGAAGAATAAGGCATAGGCATTAAAAATACGATGATTTTGGCTCGATGATAAGATACTTCACCATAGGAAATAGATTAAGTTAGACGTCACTAAACCTATCGCTGGGGAAGATCCAGGAGCATCTTTATGTACTTCGCATATTTCTTAGTACTTTCTTTCTTTTCACCATCGACGGAACATCTGGCCCACTGGGTTAGGTGCTTTTCAACCTGCTGGATCCCGTCTATGGAATTTTAAAAAAATACATGAATAAATATAAATAAAGAGCTTAGTACTGTGTCCTCCGGGGATTGGCCACGAAACGAGGAACACTGAAGTAAGGACCAGAACATGGAAAGAAGGTGCATGGTGGGGACTGCTGAGACTAAGCGGAACACTTTTCACTATTATCGTACATGTTAGGCATACAGTTATCTTAAGGATGTGCTATAAAACTCAGGTACAGTAAAGATGACCAAATACATTACAAATTGTGGAATACATTAAATGAGTTCTGGATTAGTCATAATATTAAATATAATTAAAAACAGCAAAACAAACAAAAAACACAAGACATTAAATAAATTAATATATATACAGAGCAGGCTGCTGACGGCATGGTGTCCAAGGAAAGAAGTCACTCCAGGTTGTCAGCAATGCTTTTAGCAATGGTACTATCTATGAAATGAAACTAGACTGCATATTTATATGGAATGCAAGCACCATCGTTTGTTATGACAAATACTTCAAAATTCTATTAAGCAAAAGAGTATTTTTCTAAACCTTAATGGCGTACATGCTACATTTGATAAAAGCATTTGAGTTAAATCCATCTGAAAATAGGAATTTTTGTCAATCACCTTCTCTCAATGTTTATGTTATTGTATCCCTTTTGAGATAAACAGACGTCATTTTCTATTTAAGCGACAACTTCTTCAAATGTTAAAGTGCTTTAAATGTTTACACTGCAATATCGAATTCCTTATATGGCTGTTGTTCTCCCTTGAGTTCCTTTTCAGTGTATGTGGCAAACGTGATGAAATCTCTTCAGAAAACAACCTTAAAATGGTGTTTATATCATCGTCCTGCCTTTTGTTCGCTTTCCGTTTATTTCCTACGTATAACACTCTAGCTATATTTTAATTTCTTAAGATTCTTAACATGCACAGAGTGAACAAATTTGCCCTAAAAGGTTTGAAAAATTACCTTTTTGTCAGGTACAGGATTATATAAATCAGGTACAAGTACAGGATCATATAAAATTATGTTACGTTATGGGATTCTTCTACCAACAGATATACAAGAGATACGTACTTAGTACGAGTACGAGAGACTTACTTAGATATACGAAATAACTTACTTAATACAATTTTATGTTATTTACATAATGCAATAGCATCTCTTAAGTAACAATCACTTCGTTTGAGAATTTCCTTGTCAATCGAATTGCAAGGACGCTCAAACATTCCGATACATTTCCGTTATTTATCTTCACTTTTGAACAGTCACGCTATTAAGTAGCTTCAGTATTCATGACGGTTTTCCCCGTCATGTATATTTGTGTATTTGTTACAAGGTACGTATATAATGCAATACGTTGTAGGGTTATTACTGTTTTATTATTTTTCTTCACTTATCACTTATTTTATGTTTTCGATCTCTACTGTCACTTCTTGTTTCCGTTTTCCTACCAGAATATAAATCAGGTAGAAAGAGATGGTATTTAAAAAAACGTTTCGGCAGTTTAATTCAGAGCATGTTCTGAATCTCGAGGCCAGGTTGTTAGGTTTTTGCTAGCTCAGAATTGATTCCATTATGTGACTTTGCATTATAGTTCTCGATATTTAAATTGTAACTCTAGTAAGAAGTTTTGAGCCACTATTGTTATTTAACAATGAGCTTATAATTTGCCACGCTATGTAACGGGAGAGAGTTTTATGCAATTGTAATTGTGTTATATTTTGTTTCGTATATGTATGGGAAGGAATGTGATGCATTTTAAAGCCATTTAAGTCATAAGCAGCATCTGTATCTGTTTTATGCACATAATTTCTATTAATTTCGTTCAGTGAAGGTTAAATTTATCAAAACTTCTAACTAGCAATGAAAATTCAGCTTGAATAATTAAGCTACTCAAAACGCAAATTGTTCTATTTATACTATTTATTATTTTTAAGTATTTAACTATTCATTATAATATTTCAAAATTTAATAATGCAATGGTAATAATTAAAATTTAATAACTTAGTATAAATTCGTGACATTTTTTTAAAAAAAATTAATGAAAATATTGCCTTGTAATTAAATGTTTTAATATGTTATTATTAATTTTTTATAGTGGGAGAAGCTGGAAATGTCGCCCGTGGAGCAGCGCAAAGTTCTATGTTCCATAACTTTCCATGTGGTAGCCATAACGTGCGTTGTCTGGTCACTTTATGTGCTAATTGAGCGGACAGCGGAGGAAATGCGTTCAGGTGTTTTGGAGTGGCCTTTCTGGACCAAGCTTATCGTCGTCGCCATCGGGTTCACGGGTGGTCTTGTCTTTATGTACGTCCAGTGTAAAATGTACGTACAACTTTTCAAGCGGTGGCGGGCCTTCAACCGGATCATTTACGTGCAGAACGCCCCTGAAAAATGCTGCCAGCAACAAGCCGTGTATTCCGCTGCCACAGAACTGAGTGCGAACATGCTTGCCAAGAGCGAGGAAAAGCGATTTTCCCCTGAGGACGAAGAATTTCATAGCTGTCAAAGTGGTAGTAGCAGTAGTAGCAGTAGCAGCGACAGTGTTAACGAAAGCGGTGGTCCCGGTGGTGACGGCGGTGGGCCTGGTGGTCGACAGGACACAGCTAATAACACCCCCAGCGCCAACGCCAATACTGCTGAGACTGGATCTACCAAAACAACCTTAACATCTGTAACAGACAGTGTGCCGGCTAACGATGATATCAACCATCCACCAACTGGCCATCTGCTGAGTGAGGTTGTTGTCGTGTCAACGTATGAGGATGATCTTCCTCTCCCTCCACCTACTTCGGTGGTTAGGGATGTCGTTCCTTGCACTGGAGATGAAGCATCTATGAGGGACGTATTTCTCTCCAGGCAACTGCAACAGACAGCTAGCTGAGAATAGAGCCCATCTAAACTCATTTGATAAAGAAATAAACTATTAATGCCTGATTGATTTTTTTGCACGTCGATGCCAATTATCGGGCTACACAACTTCTGCCTTAATGTGATTGATCTGCTTTTTTTAATCTAGTCAGAGAAATGCCACAATCAGTGCATAGCCTAAAATAAATGTAGTTTTTTTAAGTTACAAAACATCTGTGATTCTAATATATTTTATAAGTATTTTGTAAAACGAAAGCTTTTAGAGTGCGTAAAATTGGCAAAGCATATTTTGAATAAGTTTGATTTTTATTAAAATTTTTTGTCCAGTTAATCTAGAAATTTCATCCTTTGTCCTATTTATAAATTGGTTCCTTGAACTAAAATAGAATACACATATTATTTCAAAATATTGTACTTAAGTATTTTATTTATTTTAAAATATTTTACTGGAAACTTTGATGCATCTAATCCGAATTCGAAGACAATTAAAAAATTTTAATAGCCCCATTCTACGTTTTACATCTAGTCACGATGACTACTACTGGTTTTGTTATAAAATGTTTGCAAACTTTTTCGAACATTTCATAACAAATGGAACTTAGAAAAGAAAAATCTATAAAATTAAGTCAAATCATTTTGAACCTAAATCTTAATCTGAAGTCACTGAGAAATGCTACGCTAGTTTAAATAGCATTCTCATAATCACAAAAAAGACACTTTAAATGTGTAAAACACGAAGAAAAAGTAATTAAAATTCCAGCGAATGCAATAAATTGCGTTTTATAGACTCTTTTATTGTATTACGGGAAAAGTTTGTATATTTTTCAATTAACTAAATGAGATAAGCACAAAACCATCAGTATTCGTACCTCTTAAAACATTGACGGTAATTTTGGATTTTTTGGGGGGGGGGGATTTTCATTAATAATCTTAAAAGTAAAGCCTTCAAGCATTTTACTACTGTTATATATATTTAATAAATGCAAGGTTTGTGTTTCCTTTCAGCAGAGTGAGATATCTCTTAATTTGTCAATATACAATTTTATAATCGATTTAATACAATTTAAACTGTAATTTGTTATTATAATGTTTTCAGAACAGTAATATATATTCTTTATCGGTAGTTCCTAGAATACGGTCTTTGTCATTGTTATCTTTCAGGTAAAATTGTTTCTTTGGATGAATAAGAAATTGTTCGCTTCTGAATAGATTGCATCTTGATATCCCAATACTGAAATAACTCAACTGCACTCGTTTTAAAATAAGTATTACTTTCTGCATAATATTGTTACGCATTAATTAATTTAAGTCTACTAGTCCGATAGCAAATCTTCGACGTGTAATTAGATCAATATGTTTTTGAATCAGTCACATCATGCACAAAAGGTGCATGATTTGTTTCATCATCGAAATATGAGTTGCCTGGATGCATCATTCATACTTTTTTGCTTCAGGTTCTTCGAAATCTGTGATCATCAATGACTCAACTTGTTCTAGATTTCAAGTTGAGTCATTTACAACTGGATGTAATACTACTACAGTATTGAAGGAAAAATGTCATTACAGAACCTCAAAGTAGCTGTATGTTCAGAAAATGACTGTCTTTATACATTGTTTTAGACTACATTCATACTGCTACATACATAGTACTACTAAATTCATTATGATACTTGTACAAAGAATATTCGCAAACCATCAATGTAATGCATAACGCTGACCAAAAATATTAATTACATTTTCATTTTAATTTTAAATGTGCTTCTGAAAGATAAAAGAGTATCAAGCTCGTAGCCACAGTAAACTTCACTCATGTTAAAGACAAAATTTAGACTATTTCTTGGGGCCCACCAGCGGCCGAGCGGTAACGTCACTGAACACTGGTAGTTCGATCTGAGGTTCGAATCGCGCGGACGGGCTGGCTGCATGGGCGTTTTCGTGGTTTTCCCCATGTTTCCCCGTTTTAACGTATATACGAGCCAGTTTCCCTTAGAAAGTCCCCCACGAAGGCATCCCTCCCTTAAGGCAGATAGCCCTCGAGTGCTTTGCCGTAATCTAATAAAACCAAACCAAAACCAAATACTATTTCTTGATAACCGATACTTTTCTTTATTTCACAGATAAGCTATAATTACACATAGTTAGTTACACATAAACTGAAAAAGTCCAACCACATTTGTATTTTTTTTTATTGAAAAGATGACGGTGTCATATCTCCTTTGAATAATTAAAGCATTTTCATTCATAGTAAGTCTCAGAAAAAGCTGAAATTTTTCCGCGATTACAGTAATTGTAATTTTAAAATTTGATTTCAGCTTAAAATCAGTTTGAATGCTAACTGCAGTCTTATAAACAAACACATGCATTCACTATCCAGGTGTATTTATTTGTGATATTCTAATTAATAAATCATTCAAAGCATTCATCCCTCCTCTTTTATATGGAAGATTAGTGGTTTAACGAGTTTCTTTCTCTTTTTAACTCATTATAAATTGGTAGTAAGGCACACAGGAAAAAATGGAACATTTCTATATCTCCCGTTCTTCTGGGCCCATTGACGAAATCTGGTTTGCGTTTTTATTGTTGGAAAGGGGAACTTAGGATATATATCAAATTTATATACAGCATTGTTCTGAAGTAGGTGTTTTGAGACAAAATCCGACTTTTCCTTAAATTTCCTTAAATTGCATTCCTATTTTCTTCATATTTTTATTCTATGACTCTAGTTATGCCTAAATATTAAATATTTTAAAATTCGGTAAGAAATTTACCTTGGCGCACTTCACCGAGATAACTTCAATTGGAGGAGTTATTAATTTATGGTAACATATTTTCTTTTTCCCTTCATTGTGCACAGGCAGAAAAAAGGAACATCTTTCATTCCTTCAAATAATTTTAACAAAATGAGTAAACCACATTTGAAGTTATAACAACTATGCCAAATTTCAGGACGCGCCAATATATAAATTCATTTATATCTTAAGAAATTTTGAATAATAAACTCTAATGTTTGTATTTATATCTAGAAATACATCTACTTTAAGGTGATAGTATAAATTTCATAGGAAATAAATCCAAAATGTTTTTGAAAAATTTATAAAAATTACTAAAAAATCTAAATTTTAAAAATAAATCAGAACGTATCTCCAAATTTTATTTGTATTGAACCTAAAATTCGAACTGAGAAAAAAGGAATCAAGTAAGTATAAGAAAAAAAAGAGATATCAATAAATATATACCAAATTCAATTAAAATTCAGGAGTTAAAATTTTGAGAACCAATATTTCAAAAACTGCTCATGCGATTTTTACATGACTTGATACTTCGGCATAATTTGAGTCGTCCAATCGAAAAGTGAAAAAAATAGCTATATCATTTTAGAAAAAGTCCGATTTTGTGTCAGAATACCTATGTTAGAAGAACGTTGTATATAAATCTAATAGTCGAGCTTTTAAGACATAAAAAACGTAAGTTAAATTTCTTCAATCGGCTCAGTAGAAACGGAGATAAAGAACTGCCCCCGTTTTTGTGCAAGGTATACCTAAATTATTCAATTAGATAGGAAATGATAACGATTTAAGGCCATAAATCATTAAAGTGCTTCGAATGACAAGAGTTTTCATACATATGCTTCATAGTCACTTCTGAAATCAATATTAGGCGCAAAATACCATTTTTTATTAATTGTAGACTTCTTCCAGAAGTTAACGCTTTTGAAAAAAAAAAAAAAAAATACTATGAGAATCTTTGGAGGGGAGGCGGAGCTCTCATGTTTTAAATCTCCTTCATTTTTGGTAACATATATATTATCCAAAATATTACCGTGATAGTTTCGTAAATTGACAATTTCTGACTGATTAAATAGTCACGTTACGTGGTTACGAGTTTGAGCAAGACTCTTTTTACTAAATTCGGATGTGGAAGGTACATCTTGACTAAATTTCAAGAATCATTATAATATTCTATAAATTGCTACCGTCATAAGATAGGTTACTGATTACTTTACACTTTTTAAATATTTGAAAGTAGCACTGCTTTTAAAATTACCTGAACTCAGATACTTAGTTAGATGTTTAATACAAAAGATAACAACTAGCTGTAAACAAACATAACTCTATTGAAAAGTACTACTTTACATTTTAAGTGTCAGTAAATGTGTACTATAAAATTAGCTTAGAAATAATAACATGTGACATTTTCTGTCATGAAAATATCTATAGGGTAATTATATTTTGTAATATAAAAGGATTTGAGCAATTTAATGCAAATTTACTTGTAAAATGTATAAACCTGAATAAATTCAACAAAATTATTTGTGAAGTAAGTATTTAATTTTTAGTATATTTTATATATATTCTTTAAATTAAAAGAAAGATGAATTTAAATTTTCTTTGTTTTCTATATTGTTCTGTGTCCTTTAAGTGTGTTTATATAATAATTTCTGTGGTATATTGAAGATGATGTTTTGTAAAAGCCGAGTACTTAGAAAAGGAAACATCAATTTCTGATGTTTTATATATTAGTATATATATTTGTTGTTGTTGTTTTGTTGAAAGCGCTATGCGTACAAATTTAATTTATATTTTTAATGCCTTTAAAATGAATTAAATTATTATTTATTATATTAAAATTTAATAAATTTTTTTATTTATCTTGATACTTTTCAAAGTTCTTTCTAGTGATTGCGTTGTTAAAATTTATAATAATTTATGTAAATAATGCACTTAATAATTTACTACTTCATTTGTAAACATTGTTATGACTTGTTGCAACTGATTCGGAATTTCTGTGATTTTAATTAAAACTCTTTTTTTTTAAATTTTTAAAAAGTCAAAACAGCCAATTTCTTGTGAGTGCCATAATATGTCTGGAATTTGTATTCAAAGCTTTCTTATTCGCTTGAGAAGCTATTCTCGATATTCAGGCAATCGAAATCTGGAATGAGAATTTTCTTGTATTTCTGTTTTTACATTTTTTGATTGGTCGACAACCATGAAGTGCAGAGTAATACCGATTATTCTTCAGAATGTGCATAGAACTTTCAAAACAATTGAATTCTTGCTGTTCATCTGATGTTGAGCATCGGCTGTTGTTCTGCGCTAGTCCGATTTAATTTATTTTTCAGCTTCCTAACATCTCTGACATAGCTTACTTTTTGATGACTATTTCTAGGAACATTCTGTATTATATCTTGAGAATGATATCTTAGT